ATGCTGTTTTGTTGGTGTCAACACAGGCTTGAAATGCCTGATCCTTCACACTCCACAAATCCTATGCAGTGACAAAATCGACTCTAATATCTAGATGGCAGCAGTTACATCTCCCATTGGCTGTTTCTGTAACCTGAAGAGCAGCAGCATTTCCAGAGCACAACTCACATTGTGGATGGGCAAAATCACCTTCTGAGGGTGTCCATGTTTCTCAACCAACCAGGACAACAAGGTTCTTCATGCAGGTACCCTGAAAGACATGCATCCTCACCCAGCAGGAACCCATTTGTGATTCCCATGGTCTAGGCTCCAGGTGAGGGACAGGAGGATAGCAGTAACAGCAATCAGTGTCGCACAATTTCCAGCTTCTCTTCAGCCTACACTGTTTAGCATCTGGAACATCTAATAATTATTATTAATTGCACTTAACTGCAAACTGTAAAATAGATGTGATGAATGCACAAATAAAACTCTGGCACACCTGCAGCTTAGCCCTGGCTCTTCACTTGGGTTCAGTTTTATCATGCAAAGTTTGACCCATCTGTTACATATGTGCTACAATCAAGCTTTGCAAAACCCGTCAACCTGCAAGCCTTGGCAACAAAACCAGCCCAAGAGATGTAAGCGGCAATCTGAGAAGATACTCCCCAGGAATTAGATTTTGTAAACAAACATTTCAGCTAATTGCATTCTTGTTCTCAGTGCAATGAAGGTCCCATTTAGCCAAAGCATTTGTCTACAGAGTTTAGTTTCTTCCATTTAATGAACGTTGATCCTGTCTTAGCCTCTGCTGGTATATCATCAGGATCAACATGAAATGCTAATGGAGAAAGATGCTTAATATCATTTCAAGTGTTTAAGTTACAACTGCAGCTATTAAAGCACATCCATTTTACCTGTTCCTTCACTGGTTCCCCACTGAGACAGATTTAAAAATTTCCGTGGGGAGAAGTGATTCATAATGGCTACACAGATGAGAGAAAAAGCCTCTCACCATTAATTACAGCCAGCATTTTCCAAACCCAAGCTGGTCATTTCGCCGGCACAACACACAATTAAGCAAGGCTCATTTTATTCTGTTGCCTTCACAGATTAGTTCACTTTGTAAAAAGCAAGGTAGCTGCCTCCAGCAGTAGGGATAACTATGCCAACCAGAGAGAAAAATAAGGCTTTGTCATCTGCTTGCAGTCCATGGCAGAAAAATCCAACAGATCCCCCAGTTTTCAGTCCCCTTGCTGGTTCAGTGCAGAAATTAGTGTTGCTCCCTGTGGCATCCCAAACATGAGATCCTGTGGTGCACCCATGTAAGGCAATCACCATAGTCCCATGAATCTAGACCTTGGAAGTCAGAAAAACTTCCTCAATTTATAACTTTCCAACTGTAAAGTCAAAGTGCAGGACATGCAATACCCAGAGCAGTGAGGAGGAGGAGGATGCTTCCTGCCCCTCATCCCTGTAGAGTGACTGGAGTGGGCCCAGCCCCAGTGGCATCCATAGTAGCCTCGCAGTCTGTGCTTTGGGGACATCACAGAAATAGCAGGAGGGGATGATGCATTCACCTGAACTTCACTTGCCCAGAGAAGTGAAACCTTTTCAGAAACCATGTGAATTTTAAAGCAGGACTATTTGTTTCTCTCCTCCCATGGCTCAGTCTGCCCCTCAACCTCTTTGAGGAGAAACTTTTCCACAGCAGAGGCTCTTGGTATATGTGCCTGACAGGGTCTCAGTTTTGAACTAGGCACCCAAAACACTGGTTGAAGCCCCCAATGCTTGTGAGGCACAGCATGCTGCTGGCAGCTATCGTCAGAAACACTAGAGTTATCCTCATGCAGATTTTAAAAGGCCACTATTTATGCATGTAAATTCTGAAGGGCATTAGCGGCATCACTGACACACACTGACAGCCAGCCCAGCTCCGGGAAGGGAATAAGCAGCAGCAACTGCCTGAATAATTGATGTGCTTTTACTCTGCCCCATGGCCCAGTTATTACATTGCTCACTCCCTTCAACTGCCTGTGGTTTCTAAATTAATTAGAAATCTTAATGTCATGGCCAGCCAGTTAAAAAAAAAAAAAAAAGACACTGAGAACAAAAGAAGAGATTGCTTCTCATGCCCTTGAGCCTTGGGATCTCTTCCTTCAGTCTGGCCACGCAGGGAATAAAAGCGCAGTCTCAATTTCTGAAGCACTGGACCCCGCACACTGATGCCAACAGCAGCACAGCATGAAACCCACTCAATCTGCAAAAAGGCCCCACTGCATGGGGCTGAACACCCCCATCAAGGTCACTGCTCCCATAAGTTGGGGCAAAGCCTTTCCTATGGGCTGACTCATGCGCAGAGCAGCTACAGTCTCTCAACACAGTGAAAAACATCTGACACGATGTCCCTAGCCCGGCCACTGCAACCCAGTCCTATGCAGCACCAAAGAAAAGGATGGCACTGCAGTCTGGAGCAGTGAAAGAGCTCATGGTTGCTCTGCTCATACAGCTGACAGAGTGAAATGACTCTGTGGGATCCTGTTCATGGGATGAAAAAAAAATGTGTGCAACCTGACCTCAGAGAACAGGAGATCAAATACAAAATGAGTGGCCATGTTTTTGCTATATATATACCTTTATCTGCTTACAATATTGGTTATGCTTAAACTTTAAAACAATATCTATAGCTATCAAGAGACCCAGTGGGAATAATTCTCATGTTTGAGCCACATTGAAAAAGCACAGGTAGTTGTGCTTCAAGGCCTTTTAAAGCACTTAGTCATGAAGAATCTTGGGATGTTTTTAACCTCCTTGAAAAAAAGAAATACTGGGTTTTTTTAAATCTCTTTACAACAGTACCAAAAGCATAAATACACAGAAATTACTGAATGTGTAAAGATAATTTTAAATTGCACAGATAACAGATAACAGACTAATATTTCATCTTCTTATAAAAAACCAGTGAAATACCTGTGAAACTCAACAGTGTGGCACAGTCTTCCTCTCTGCCAACGCATTATGTCATACTGTAATCTGCAAGATCTTGAGATAGAGAAAGGTATAAACCACCACCTTTCCATTATTCCTCTTCAGAAATTCATTATTTTAAAGAAATATGATTTTCCAATCTTTACTTTTGACAAGGATAAACTGACATACTCAGAGCACTGAACTGTCTGACTCCCCACTAAAGTTATTTCACATCTCCCGTACACATTAAGTGCCCAGACATGACAGCCCCACAGCAGTGATGGCAATCACCACAGCTGGTGATGGCGACAGAAAGCTTTACGGAGTTTTAAATGGCACTGTAAATCCAAATAGAAGTATCCAACAAAATGAATCCCATTTGTTAGCACATGAAAGGTAGTTCACAACACCGTGAGCTGAAACTACAGGAGAACGTGGTTATCTAAAACTTTAATGCACTTTGATCAAGCATTTACTTGCTCAGAGAGCTTTTCTTCCTCTGTCTGCTATTTTTCCTCTCCTGCCATAACTTTGCATTAAACTGATGCGTGCAGAGACCACCATGAAAAAAATACAGAAGGTTCCACACAAGTTGCAAGTTTAGGCCCTTTCAGTGTTTTTCAAGAGGCTTCTTGAGATGACACTTCCATTTGTAGGGTGGGAAGACGGACTTTCAGTAAATTGTAACACTCATACATGAAGAAGGCAGAATTGTTCCATCCTATGATTTGTGTGCATTTGTCATCTTGGTTTCATACTGCCTCTAAAACGCACATGCTAATTATTGGCAGAATGGCACTGCAGATGTAGTGAACACAAGATGTCACTCACATGCATTTTTCAAACCCAAGCAATGAAATAAAGTATCTCGTAAGAACATGTCACCTGTTCGTACAGAAACTTTCCTGACCCTGGCAACATCTGCTATCTCTCTGCCTCTTCAAATCCATGTTTTTAAATCTCACTATGCTTGCTTTGCTATACTCAAATGTACAGACCTTCACATTATATATAATCTTTTGCTCTTCATACTGTGGTATGTACATACATCTCACTCTGAAGTTATTACATTAATTAATATAAAAATTTACTGAAAGGTTCAGCTCATGTCAACTCCTCTAGCTTAACCATAGTAACAATGAAGCCCTACACAGGCTTTAAAGCAGAGGTGGGTTCCTGATTCCTCTTCTGGATTACCATACAGATGAAAGGATGCACCAGCTGAAGCAAGACTGCCACTACTCAACGTGGCCATGCCCTTCTTGTCCAGCTTTTACATCACTTGTCTCCAGCAAAGAGCAAAGTGTAAAACCACATGGGGTCCTATAGGGGTGCTCCCCTTTCAGCCTTGGAAAGAAGGTAGAAGAAGGTACAGGACACAGCAGCAGTATGGAGCAGCACAGGTTTCCTCACTGCTTTTTGGAGCCTAGTCTTTCAAGACGCAGCCCCTGGCAAAGTGTCTCATGAAAGTTTGATGAACAGCATTTTGTTTAACACCAGCAACTGAGCTACAGCCCTGTCGAGCTGCATTGCCCAAACAAAATGTCACAACCCAAGAGGATCAAGAAACTCAATTGCAAGAGGCAGGCTTACAGGCAGCACAGGAGCTCACAACCTCTGGAGCAGGGGGCACTGCCCCACAAGTTACTCGGTTACTGAAACATGAGGAGGCTGCTGCAACACTGATGAACACTGAGCCTCCTTCAATACTTGCCCAGCACGCTGCAAGGCTGCACTAGGCAGTCTTGCAAATACTCAGAAGTCCACAGCCCTCTTTTACCCTTTTCACTTCTACATGCACCAAAAAAATCCACAGTGCGCTCTTCCCTAACATTCACTTCAGCATTTTCATGCTCTGCTGCTTTTGTTCCCCCGTTCCCTTTACATAAAGGAATATTCTCAAGAAACAACTGCACCTGCATAACTGAATATACACAAAACTCAATATGCAGAGACAGTGCTGTGGGCTCATGGAACATGACCAAGTCTAAATATTTTAGCACAGCAAACAAATGAGGCAATGAGGCTAGACTATATGGTCCAGTAATTACCTTTTCTTGTTCTTCAGGTGCTAGAAATCCACACACTATTTTTTGCAGAGTACCGTATTTGACATTGCTGGAAAAAAAGAGAAAAAGAAACAAATTTAAAATGTTTATATTTGCCTCTGAGGACTTATTAGGCACTCATGAACTTTCTCCTATACATTCACCACAGGATTCATCAATGAACAACTGGTTTTGGTCAACAGAGCTGATTTTGAAAAGCCTGTAAGAATCTTTAATCTCTATGAAACATATTTCTGGATGGGAAGACAGTACTAACACATAACCAACAATGCCTGGATGAAAAACCAGTGGACAGTATCACTACCAATAATAAAAGAAAAACCTAAAGATACAACTAGCTATCAAACACACACGCAGGTATATGAGTATCTCTTCACCATAACAGACTCCAATGTGATTTAGATAAACTATTGTTATGCTAGAGGATTTATCAGTGATTTTTAGAAGTTGCTGCATCAGAATAATAAAGAAATATCTAGTTTGAAAGAAGAGAAGGTAAAATAAATTATGATTGCAAGGATAATAATTCCTGTTCCTCAGCAGTTTACAACTTAAAATTCCTCTGTCCCTTTACATCTTCAGTATTTTCTTCTAATTATAGTGTTAGATGCTAAATGTAACATTAATTGACAAAACCATGAAATGGATGGATCCAGGTCAGCCTCCTGGAAATGTTGGTTTTATTAGGATTAATTACACACGAAAAATTGCTCCTCACAGTTGAGATTGCTACAGAGGAAACTTCAGTGAGAATCAGCCTTGTCAGAGTCAGGTTGGGTGGTATAGGACTCCAGGACCTTATCCCATCCCAATGAAACTATTAGAAAACAAAATTAAAAACCCATGCAAGGCAAACGGTAATGACTCCTCCTGACTAAAATTTTGCTTCCTACATTAACTATAAGCCCAGCTCATTTTCTGCAACCTGTACGGGACGACACAGGTCATTTGATTTTTAAGTAGTGTATTAAAATGAAAAAAACTTTAAAGATTGACTAAAATAGGACCCAGTGTTAAACTGGGGCCAGTTATTCCAATTGCAGCAGTGGGTCCCCAAGCCTTTCCCAACCAGGGCTGTAGCACAGCTTTCACCCTGCTGCCATGGTCTCACACACTGGACCATCCTACACCTTAAAAAAGTTGCAGACTAAGAAATGGTCCTAGGGCTCCATTTTCACATCTTAGCTTATCCAGAATGGTCTTACTTTAATTTTCAATGGCAAAAAAGGGAAGTTGCACCCCATCTCTAAGCACTCCTTGGCAGGTACTTCCCTGAGAGTATGAGAAGGACATAGAGGTATTGGTCTCTAACACATAATTCATATTATTTCCGTACTAAAGAAGCAATTGTTTGCATTCAGTAACCTTGGAAGTCAGACAAGTAAATTAAAACTTAAAATAAGGCTTGAGAGTCCAGCATCCATGCTGCTTTTCAAGTGATTTCTCTGTAATAGGCAAGTATGGATATTCTGGAGGAAAAAGAGACCTATTCCAGGTTGCCTGTCAGCAAAATTGCTGCTGCAAGTAATAAACAGATTTCAGATCATCTAAGAAATTTACAGGCAAACTCAGGGTAAGACCAGCTATTACTTCTCCCCATATAAGTGAAAAAGTCTCTATATGTAAAGACTATACCCATTTTCAGCCTTGGATTTTGATCATATATATATATATATACAGTTTCAGTAGGAAAAAAACACTTTTACAAGTGTAGAGCAGACCAGGCAACACCTCATAAGGGCATCCATATACTTTAATTCTAGGAAAAATGCCACTTGTTTAGACTACGCCACTTGTGTTTTATAGCAAAACCTTCACTTGGTTCCAAGAAGCTTTTGGAGAATAATTCTCATGCAATCGAAGCAGTACAGAGCAGAGAAATTGCAGTTTGCCTAGTCTGAAGAAGTTAATGTTTGTTACCCCATTACCTTACAATGTTTTTTTAAATGAAATTAAAACAAGATCTTTGTTTCATTTATGATACCTTACATTTAACTTCTGCTTGGAGCATAAAGGGCTAGAGATAGCACAACATACAGTGGTTTATGGATCTTCTGTGTCATTTTAGGATTCAGCACATGCTCTCCTCCCAGCTCAACTTTATTTTATCATAATGTGAGTGTACTGACTAGTAAATTTTTCTTGCCTTCCGTTCCCAAATGCCAAATGTATAACCTTGAGTTGGCCTCTGCCATGTGCTATTGCTATGCAGATTTCAAGTGCAGATTGGGCAATTCTTGTTCTTATTAAAATAAGAAGGGAACTATACAGGGATTCCTGCAGAGCAAAGATCTTGCAAAATACTTGCTAGAGAGTCGGTGCTCAGTGTCAGCAGGTGCACTGCAGGAACTGCAGGGATTTGGCATTAGCCCCAAAAGAGAGAATAAACACACTAAAGAAGGAGACATTGCTTTACCTTTGACACCTACTAACACTCACAGCAGTACAACACCTGCCCTGTGAGCAAGGGAATCTTGTTTTGATCTTGTTTTACTACTTTCCACACCACTCAACTAACCTGTTCCCCCCGCGAATCTACAGTACTTCTCAGAAAGCATTTGTTTCTTCCCAAGTTCTTCCCCGGTCATACTTTGCCTGGACAATTTGGTTAAGTGGCTTCTCTCCCTTGCTTCATCCTGTATTACCCTGGAGCTCTACCTGCCAAAATTACTGCTCAGTGAGTAATGCAGGTACTTCAACATAGCCCACTCTTACTAACATGGCTTCTGGTGTTCGTGTGGCTAAATATTTCTAAATCCTCTGCTATGGTGAGTAATGTGTCCACCCAAGTAGGACAAGGGCATATTGTTCTGCACCACTAGATGCCACAAGAAGGGCAATTAATCTGCCCCTTCATCCCAAACGAGAAGCTACTAATAAGGAGAGCAACAATAAACACTTTCTGTTTGGCAACAGCAAAGGCTGGGAGGAGAATCCATCAAGATGGGATGGCTCACCCTCAAGCAGCTGTCTTCACTACAAAAAGCCAAGCAATACAATTTCAGTTGTAAACACTCACAACAAAGGGACCCACAAAAAAGCACATGAAGTTTTAGACAACTTTCTGAAAAAGCCTTGTTTGTTAAAATGTACCAAGCAGAGGAGTGAGCACCCAGCCTCATGCTTTTGGAGATGAATATCCATGTGGAGCAGCACTGCATTGCTCCCAGATATTAGCATCTCTGCATCAGCCTGATGAAACCAAATCAGCAACTTTCACCTACAGCGACTTAATTAACATGCACTCTACAGATTTCTCTAAATCCTCCACACTGCCATCCTCCATTGCCGCGCTCTTTTGATGAAAGTGATTAAAGCTAACAATTATAATTTCTGTTAGAGATGTCCCTAGAGGCTTCGGCAAGGCTCAGACTTCATTGTTCACAGAACACAATGCAAAGAAATCTCTCTCCTGAAGAGCTCGTTCTCCAAAAAGACAAGGAAATCAAGGAATAGCAGGAAGACACGGACACAAAAAATTATTGCTCAAGGTCAAACAGCAGGTCTCTGACAGAGCTAGAAGAAAACCCTACTTCTCTAGAGCACTCCTGAGACTGTGATGACTCTCCAATACTAAGCTGTTCAATTAATATACTTTATTTACCAAGTGTCAAGAGCAGGTGAAACAGTTCACAGTGTTACTTGCTGTTCCGTTTTTGATCATGTCTTCTTGTGGTGACTCTCCAAGCAAAGCTAACCATGACAGCAAAAGAGGTACTTTCCCTTCACCTTCCGAAGAAATGCTTCCCATACTTTTCCGTGCAGATTACTGACAAATCAATCCCCTTTAATTTTTTTATTCTTCCATCAATGCTTTCAACAAAGAGTGATTGCTCAAGCACCCTTCTCAACCTTGCACTTCCAATTTTTTAAAGAATGGTCAATCTCAATATGCTTAATTATAATTGCAAATGGATCGTTTTATCTTGTACTCTTCTGTTTTAATGGGATTATGTATCATCAAATCTCTACAGTAACATTTAAAGTAAAAATCTCCTACGTCATTCATATGTGTTTTAGATATTTAAAACATTAATATGCAACCTGTGATATTACAAAAGGTTAGATTTCTAACTCCCTGGCCCAGTTATGACACCATAAATCTGATTTAATTTTCACTGATTACTAGAAAAATCTTTCCAAGGCAGTATAACTGTAATTTGATAAAATTTCTTGACAGACAATTCATCAGGAAGAGAGTGGTTCTGTTGTGCTTTGTACAGCGACAGCACAAAGCATGAGTGTGCAAAGAGAGTGAAGCTTTTAGTCTTTGCAAACAACTTCAGTGCATAAAATATTAAAAGCATTGCTAAACTAATCTCTGGCAAGAACTGCAAGCAATTCACTACAACTCATATTACGAATGCCTTTGGTTTACCATTTAAAAAACATTAGAGTCTACCATTATGGTTGTGTATCACAGTGCTATACATTAACCTCTGCAATCTTCCAACATGGTGTATTGCAGTAACAGAAATTAGGCTATCTGGCAAAAAAAGATTAAAAAGACGCAATATTTAAAGAGAGCAGACAGAAAAGCTCCTCACTCCTTCCTGCCAAAGACAGCAGGAGAAAGTCCAGTCCTCTTTTCCTCAAAGCAAATGGTAAAATCCCATTAATTTCCCCTGGAACCGACAGATCCGCAGCATCTGGGAAAGGATTCAGTCTAAATACATTGCAGACATAACAGATGAATGATTTGGGGGAGAGGGGTCGCCTGCTCTCATTTTAACACTTCTGTGTAACAGGAACAGAGCAGGTCATTTCTGTAAGCTTGAAAATGCTTTGTGAGTTTTCAGTAGGATTTTCCCTTCAGCATTTTTTGCCTTCTGTCTCCATTTTATTCTTGTTCCTATGCTTAATGGCTTTCAAATCTGTTGAGCATACAAGATGCTTAAAGCCTACACTTGATATTTACTGTTGTAGGACCCACATGGACGAAGTATTGTTCACCTACAATTAATAGGAAAGACATTTACACTTCAAATATTCTGGAACAATTACGTCTTCTCCACTAAGGAAACAAACTGCAAGCTAAATTTTCACTTA